GCGACAGGCTCTACGGCGTAGATGTCCCTTAGCGCGCGTTTGCGCTCCCTCTTGGGGATATGCGTGACATAGATCATATTCACCATTTTCACCTTAGGGGGGAATTTCTTTCGTCCCCCTGTGTTCGGTGGGTGGGGCTCCTCATCGTCCTTGCTTGGCGGCCCTTTTGCCTTATGTTCGGTATTTAACTTATCGGCCTGTTTAAAGACCCAACAGTTCCCAGCTACCTATGTCCGCCGATGCCTATGTCTCTAAAGGCATCCTCCAGATCTTCCCAGCTACCAATGGAGTTTTCTGGGAGGCTATTTAACCAGTGTCGTGCTGGTCCTTTCAGCTTTAGGGGGAGGTATTTGATGGCGTGGAGGTCATCACCGCGAGCCATGTGAATATGGAGAAGAAAATCCTCAATCCATACCGCGGGATCCATCATTTCATCATATGATTCAATGTTTACGGGTTTAAACCCTTCTGGAAACTGGTGCTGCATTAGCTCATCGGTAAAGCATAAGGGGTGTGCGGCCCTCTATATCGGGCAATGTCACGACGACGTTCGGATGACATCCGTGTTTGGTTTTCGGCCCGAGTGAGGTTATGCCTATCGGGCCAGGCTTATGGCCGTCATCTCGCGTTGGGGCACACCCCCTTGATCCATAGATTGATCATCGTACAGGTCCTGACATAAGTCGTAGGTGTATCCGGGAGACGCCACCTCTTTGCCTCTATGGCGAGGTGGTGCGGGTTGGTGTTCGGCGTAGGCAGCCGCTTTGTCTTGCCCACGTGGTGGTCGGTCTGGTTCATCAGCGCGGTCATATCTTGACGGTATTGGCTCAAGGGCCTCATTGTCGAATTGTGGTAGTAGCCGACGCTTCGGATAACTCTTTGTTGGGAGCTCGAGGCCATATTCCTCGGCGGCTAGGACCTGGGTCCATCTGTCATTGAGCGTATCCTGTTCGGCCTGAAGCTGTTGCTATTTCTTTTTTAGGCTCCTCGTAGTTGTGATTAGCTGTCGCTTGAAGCGTTCTTACTTGAGGGGTTCCTCTAGCACAATGAAATCATCGTTGCCGGGGCTGACATCTTCCTCGGAGATCGGTAGATAGTAACTATCCTGCGAATCCTCATTCCCGACCGGCTCGTCGGGGTTAACTTGTCCCTCTTCCCATTCATCCTGCTCGGACGCAGGCTCAACCGGGTCTTCGGGATCTTTGACATCGTCTGGAGTGTTATTGTCTCCGGTGCTGGTATTGCTTTCCTTTTCGTGGCGCGATTTTGAGCGGCGTCGCTGACGTCGATGTTTTGGTGGTGCCTCGATGGGCTTATCTTCGCTTGGATCCTTCCTGCCATCGTCGTCATCCTTTTTAGGTGTATCCACCATGTACACATCATATGTGGAGGTGGCTGTCCAACACCCGGTAAAGGGCGGGTCTTGGCCTGGTTTGTCTCCGGCATCATCGTCCATGCCATCGATGTCTTCGGAGGCATAGTCGAGCATGTCGGTTAAGTCTTCGATAGTGGCTTCCAAGTGGGTGGTGGGTGGGATGCAAAATTCCCTGTGCTCAGCCCCTAGTTCGAGCTGGGCATAGTTCGAAAGCGATACTTCCGTAATGGCGAGGGATCGCACTAAATCCAAGGCCTCGCGTAAGAGCAAAGGCCGGACGGGGAACCGAGGACCTGCGGGGCTAGGCATGGCAGATTCTACTAGGTTGTGCTCACTAAACGCAGACCTTGAGAGTTCAGAGTTGGAATCCAGAGCCGAGTTCGGCTCTTCGATGACAGGGAGAGTCCTGCTTAATTCCAGGCTCGGCGAAGACATAGTTGCCTCCGGGTCTCTGAAGAAGAGCTCCGTAGTAGGAGAGTGTCCGGTGGGTTTCAGACACCCATCTTGGATGAAGTGGTCTGCTCTGGATCTAAGGCCAGGGTAGGGATGATAGTTGGTCTTTGAGCGGTGCCTGATGACAGATCCGATGTCTTTCCTTCTTGGAGATGAGGAACAGTGGTCGAGGCCGTGAACCCTTCGAAGATCAAGTCTCCTCAGATGTTGGCGACCTAATTCAGGCTCCCGAATCTGATCTGATGACCAGGGGCGTAGCTGTCGATCTGTTCAAGGTGACCAATTGAATTGGCACGCAGAGCGAAGCCGTCGAACACAAATAGTTGACCGGGAAGGAAGATTTCCCCAGAAACAGCATCATTGTTGATGATTGAACGAGCCATCGAACCTTCTGCCGATGACACAGTGGAACTCTCAATGAGAGCACCAATGTCGGTGTGAAGATACCCCGAACAAGCCTCTCAAAGAATTATTTTCCATAGTGACAAGTGATAATAGATTTCAGCACATAGTATAAATGTTTCCTTTCCGAATTCCACTTACCAAAGGTGCTTCACTCCCTGGCAATGGTGCCAGATAAGAGTCTTGATGACCCACAAGTATAGGGGATCAATCATAGTCCTTTCGATAAGTAAGAGTGTCAAAACCAACAAGGAGCAGAAGGAAATGACAAGCGGTTTTCAGCAAGGTATCTTCTGCAGGCACTAAAATTATCGGTAACGGATAGTTTGGTAGTTAGATAATTCGTAACGGGTGTCGGTGTCAAAACCGGCCGATCTCGGGTAGGGGGGCCCGAACTGTGTGTCTGAGGATCGAAGGTAACAAGGGACACATGGAACACGATGTTTACCCAGGTTCGGGCCCTCATAACGGAGGTAAAACCCTATGTCCTGCTTGACTGTATTTGATGAGTATAGGGGTTACAAGAGTTGGTCTACCTCGAGATCGTAATGGCTAAACCCTAGATGTCTAGCTTATATGAATTCTCATAGCCTCTACAGACTAAGCCCTCCAGTTTATATAGACACTGGAAGGGCCTAGGGTTGTACACAATCGGTTATAGAAGAAGGAAACTATACATCCGGACGCCAATCTTGCCGTCCACGCATAGGAGAGTCCTATCCGGACACAGGGGACGGCCTTCTATCCTGTATCTTCACGGCCCATCAGTCCGGCCCATATCATACAGTCCGGACACCCGAGGACCCCTTAATCCAGGACTCCCTCAACGGGTAACAAGTAACAAGTGTAGAAAAGTTGCAGGAAGGTGTCCCATTCCTTTTTATAGCAAAGAATAAGTCTGGATGAACTCTTATATAAAGCAAAGTGCTCCCGAGGACACATGGAAATTATTGTCACGCTAGTTTTCATCATGCTCATGTGATCCGCGTTCGTTACTTTGATAATTTGATATGTGGGTGGACCGGTGCTTGCGTATTGTCCTTACTTGGACAAGCCTCCCACTTATATTAACCCCTCTCGCAAGCATCCACAACTACGGAAGAAGAATTCAGATAAATCTAACCATAGCATGAAACATGTGGGTCCAAATCAGCCCCTTAAGAAGCAACACATAAACTAGAGTTTAAGCTTGTGTCACTCTAGCAACCCATCATCTACTTATTACTTCCCAATGCCTTCCCCTAGGCCCAAATCATGGTGCGGTGTCATGTTGTCGACGTTTACATAACACCACTAGAGGAAAGACAACATACATCCAAGGTAGTCAGAATCCCGACTCGACTCCTAGAATCCTATGACTTCACGACCCTACGGAACCATGTCGATCCAAGTCCCATTATGAATCCAGATCAGGAAGAATCCATGTTGAGTCGATCCAAATCATAGAATCATGTACAAAACTATAGAATCCGGACTATGGTATGGACTATGTCCGATTCTACTAATTTATCTAAGCCATTCGTTTAGTTGTAGTAGAATAGTATGCCATCATCCAAACCATTTTCACATGCGTCATGGCCCTTTATTCCCCTCCCAATCCCAAATGCTCAGGCACCGATACCTTTGATCTGGCTCTCAAAATCTAGATCAAAATTGATGATCAAACTTGTCGACAAATGGAATTTGCGTGGGAAGGAGGATGCATCAAGATTAATCGAAGAATGACAGCAAGACCCTTCAAGGTTAAGCACTACAGGGTGGATATACAAGTGATCGGCTATTCACGTATTCTAAAAAACTCATAAGTAAATTTCATGCGTTGAAGATTTCAATGTTCTATATATTTGCCTCTCATATATGTTACATACATCCAAGCTAATAGTAGGTTAGCCATAAAAAGAAGTGGAATATAACTAGCATTGATGTGTACGTCTTTGCTCTATATTTAGTGTCAAAACTCTGTAGAACCCATATAAATTTCTTCCATGGATACAAAATATCTTATTTGAGTAAATCTAGTAGAATCCTCGATTCCGCAACTCGATACTACAACTCAATTCTGTCTAAGGAAAATCGACCCGACTCCGAATCCCGACTCTGACTACCTTGCATACATCTCATCAAAATATCGAACAAATACCAAATTCATATGATTACTTATAACGGGACTTCTCCCATGTCCTTAGGAACAAACATAAATACTCACAAAGCATGCTCATGTTGAAGATCAGAGGGGTATTGAATATCATTAAGGATCTAAACATATGATCTTGCACCAAATAAACCAACTAGCATCAACTACAAAGAGTAATCAACACTACTAGCAACCCACGGGTACCAATCTGAGGTTATGAGGCAAAGATTGAATACAAGAGATGAACTGGGGTTTTAGAGGAGATGGTGCCGATGAAGATGTTGATGAGGATTGACCCTCCCACGATGGGAGGATCGTTGGTGATGACGATGGCTTTGATTTCCCCCTCCCGAAGGGAAGTTTCCCCGGCAGAATCGCTCTCCCGAAGTCCTAGATTGCTTCTGCCAAAGTTCCGCCTCGAGATGGCGGCGCTTTGTCCCGAAAGCTTCCTTCTGATTTTTTTTCTAGGTCAAAACCCTCCATATAGCAGAAGATGGATATCAGGGGCTAGCCAGGGGGCCACAAGCTTGGCGACGTGCCTTGGGGCGTAGGGCGCCCCCAGGCTTGTGGCCATCTAGTGGGTCCTCCTCTGTTGTTTCTTCGCCCAATATTTTTTATATATTCCAATATAATTCTTCAAAAAGTTTCAGGATATTTGGAGTTGTGCAGAATATGTATCTCAGATTTGCTCCTTTCTAGTCCAGAATTCCAGCTGTCGGCATTCTCCCTCTTCATGTAAACCTTGTAAAATAAGAGAGAAAGGCATAATAATTGTATCTTAAAGTGAAATAACAACCCATAATGCAATAAATATCAACATAAAAACGTGATGCAAAATGGACGTATCACAAATTTTCCCTTGGCTTGCTGGGGAAGGACCATAGCTCTCGCTTTTCATACCGGTGTTCTATCTAAAACATTTGTGATGAAGAGATGTAATGACCCAAACCTGATAAGATTCAATGTCTCTGTGCTCATTGTGCTAGTCCCTGGATCAATAGCTAGCACACACAGTACAAGATGTAATATCAAAAATAAACCACATGTCATAATATTACATCGTAGATTCAGAATTTAATATAATACATACCTGCATAGCTCAAGGCTAGCTCATAACAAAAGTACAATGGAAAAGAAAATAAAATCTTCATGAAGTCCAACACCACAGGAAAATGTCGAGTATAGACATCGTAACCCTACATCGTATCACTCACTCGTCGAATAAAATCATGAAACATTGCAGCCACGAAGGGTTAATACTTTGAATATATTGGCAAGTCACACAGGAATGATATAACATACCTATTTCTACTAGCAAAATGCCCGTGCGTTGCCATGGGCCTTTTAATTTGTTTTCATCCGATTGCACCTATGAATATAATGCATATCTTATCTCGTTCCCCACTCTGTCTACCACCCTCCATCTCTATCCCTACCCTTCTATTTCCCACCCCCGCTCCCTCTTTCTTTCTAGACCCCTCTATTTCTCCATGACACAATCCCCTAATGACAAAAATGCCCCCCGCTTTATATTATAATGCAACAATCACTGTATACATCCGATAAGACCGATACAAACACACACCACCACCGCACTCAACACACACCCAAAGCAAGATACAAAGGTGCCGACAAACCACCCCAGCGACTACCAAGCACACTACGAATGAGCAAAGAATAACCGCTTCTAGCCGACGGACCACCACATGAGTGATCCACCAAGGAGAGGTGAGGCAGCCAACGCCGGAGCGGGGACTCCAAAATGGTGCCTCCAAGAAGGGCAGGACCACTGATAGCCGCCATCATCTGATCCCGTGGATCAAGTTTTCACTCGAAGTAACACAAAGGGACTGAGAGCACCACGGCGGACCCTGCAAGAGGGAAACAACGTCTGCGGACGCCACCGCCGATGGCTAGTACAAAGATTGGGCAAGTGATGTACCCCGGTGCTCCGACCCCCTCCGTCGCACCCCCGCTCCGCCAACCACCCGCATCCATGCCGCCCGAGCAGCCTTACCTGCTCTCCCGCTCCTGAGCCGCGCAAATCCGCCCAAGATCAACGCGCCTCCCACTACCAGGGCCGCCACCTTGTACCCAGACCACCCTGAGAACATCAAAGGGGGTGGCTTTCAATAGCTTCTCCAAATCCAACCACTGCCAGAACCGACAACGACCGTCCAACCTCAAGCATCGCCAGAAAGCACCAGGCTGAGGAAAAGGGGAAGGGGAAGGACCGGCACACGACCATGACCGGCACCCCCTACGTCGGCGACAGGCGACTCAAAAACAGCAGAGCCCCCATCCCTCCTACCGACTTCCCCCTCCCCCCGAAGCACCCCTGCTTCGCCCCACCACGGCTACTGGTGCGGACTGGCGAGAGGCCACCAACAGCCACATGTCCGCCGAAGAGGGGGTAGATCCACCGCCATCACCACCAAAGATGGGCACAAGAGAAGCCCGCCCGCGCCGCACACTGTCGTCCAGAAGCCGGGGAGGAAGGCCCGACCGGACTCCAGGACGTGCACGCACCTCCACCACCTCAGCCACGCCACCAGCACTGCCCACCGATCCATGCCAGCGCCGGCCGCACACGGCCCCTGTTGGCCTCAGCCCTCGCCGCCGGACGGGCTGCCAGCGCCAGATCTGTCTGGATCAGACCAGATCCATGTTGCACAATTTGCCTGAAGGACGAAGCCCCACCTCCACCGCACAACCACCACTACACTAATATAGCATCGACCGAGAGTATCAGTCGTGAGACTGGAGACTATATCACAATCCCCTAATTACTTCCAAGAAAGAAAAACAAAAAATCAGCATGCAATCCCCTAATGCCGTCGATTTGATTTGATTGAAGCATGGAATCAAAAGAGAAGCGCGCTGCAGATAGGAAAGAAATAGAGCAAACAGTTACCGACGGCATTACAGTAGAAGAAAACGAAGATATATGCGAAAAGCAGTACAGAGATGCTTGTGCAACTTATCATACGTACCTAGAAGAATATTGTGATCCGCTACAGCACGCCACACTGAGACATACATGCTGAAATGCATTGTTCTCTCTTTTTTATAGGAGCCGAGACATACATGCTGAAGTGCATTGTTCTCTCTCTTTTTTTATAGGAACACATACATAATTTGGTTACAATTACGAATTTTAATGCTGGTTAGTCAATTCTAGCAGAATAAAAGAATAGGTTTCATGCTATCCTGAGAATTGCTGAATCAATATCGATATATGAGCAGGCTCACACAACTTGTAAATTAAGCTAAGGGGTAGATCCTAAATATACTGTTTTTTTGCTTTAGCACATGTGTCTTCCTGTCCTCTTCACCTTTTGAGGAATATGGTACGCAGGGTTTGCTTAAGAACATGACAAAATCAACGTCGACCGAGAGAATTTGGCTGCTGCATATTACCTTCTGATAATTATTGTAGGCAAACCAGCATAGGCTGTACAACAAATATATACATGCAGAAATGTGGGCTCTTGGAAAGACGATAGTATAGAATGCCTGGCCACCCAGTGGCTTTATATTTTCAAGATACTCTTAACAACAAACTGACATAATACATGTAGGTTTAGACCAGCAAGCATAATATCATCAGGAACTCATCATTTTCTTACCACCCCATGTCTATCTCCAGCGTATCCTCGTCTTTCCAACAAAGGAAAACATCCTTTGTAAGTGTCAGCGGAGCCTTCTCCAAATTGTCATCAATGAAGCAATTCAGGACAGATCTGGGCAACCCAGTGGAGACTTCGCTGACAATGAAGCTCGAGTAGCTGATCAAGTTCTCAAAGGCACCTCCTGCAGACCTGCACAACCATGTTGACATTTAGTTTCTCACCCTGGCTCCCAGCAAGGCTGTGACTGTAGAAGCTAGTTTTTTTAAACGGGGGCATAAGCATAAGTTGTGAATCTAGAAGATAGTTTTGATGCTTACAACGACAACATTTAATTAGAAAACTAATGCATGTAAAACTAAGGTTGTATTCAAAGTGGTGACATGTTACTTCTTGATAAATATCCGCCGATAAAAGTATTTTAGTAACACAATTGAGTTGAACACATCGTAAATGGAAATAACACAAACTTTAGGCAAAGTAATTACTACAGTTCCTTTGGAATCAAGGACAGAAGAAACACAATAGACGATAACACGAGAAAAGTAATCGCTATTTTTGTTTTAACACTACTGATACACTATAAGATGTTAAGAGTTTTGGGAATCAACATCTTATCGACATAAGTACTTCACTTTTCTCAGGAACATGTGCAATAAGGAGAGCAAAAATATCCAATAGGAAGGAGTTATAGAGCACACACTTCATGCCCAAACAGTCCTAGTCAAGTAACTCAGACAACCATTAATGGTTTCAACCAAATAAAACCAACACATCATAATTCCTGAAACTCCCCGGGGTGCATGCTATGTAACCAGATCATCTATTCAAGTGTATATACCCAGCCAATGTTTATTGTTGCAAAATTGTGCACATTGTAAGAAAACAATTGTGAGGAAACCCATAAGATAAGAGAAATAAAGATGGCACCTTCCAACATGTGCCATCAAGAAAATACTAAACCCCCTTCTCTTGTAGGCTAACTACCTTCCGAACCCAAACTCTCCACACCTTGTATTGGTGCAACTGAATAAATTAGTATAGTAAAACGAGTTGTAACACATACAATTAAGAAAAGTCACAGTTTAGGCCTTAGAGAACCTAAATACAACGACCCAGGATTAATGTAGAAGCACACAACGACAAAAAAACACATGTCAGAGGAAAGTGCTACTGCCAGCAGAAGTAGCTGCCCCAGTGGTGGTGATCGAGACTATGCATGGGATTCATGTAGAAGCACCTAAACACAGGATTCATTATTGGCACCTGGAACATGGGTGCAGGCATTCCGGCGAAGTCAGCGATAATGGAAGCTTCGGGTATGGCAAGAACTTGCAAAATTTTAATGAGTGATAAAAGGATCTTATGGAGAAAAAACAGTAAAGGAATGCATATTTCTATTATGCATCATCGATCAAAACGATGGTTAATTGAATGAAGAAAACAAAAAATCACTTTTACTGGGAAAAATTGGTACTGCTACCTATTTTAATGTTATTAACTCGTTGGTGAGAGAGCTGCTCACTTGCAGATCACATAACTCCACGTATTTTCTGTACAAAGGTAATTTAATTTGGTAGTGACATTCAGCTATTTCCTTGGAGCTTAAAGGATTACCTACAAATAAAATTAGAGGAAATGCTTGTATTGCTAAATCTCATCAAGTGGTAGCTATCATTTTCATCAAGAAAAAACAACTTGCTCTCGTTGGTCATTATGTCAGGCGAACCTTCTCTGCATATTACTGAAAAACACACAATTAGCATTATGTTATGTACTGTTTAAGAACCGTGAAATGATTGATTTGGCTCACCTGGGTTTCAGACAGAACCAACCCTAAAATCACCTGTCTTGTTGGTGTGGCCGCGGGTGGAGATGGCGGCCAGCGCGCGGCTCCCCAGAAGACGGCCTTCTTCGGCCACCATGCCATCACTGCGTGCATGGGTGATAGCATCCTCACGGCGGCGCCCAGCCCCTGCCAGCAGAAGTAGCTGCCCCGGTGGTGGTGATCGAGACTATGCACGAGATTGATGTAAGCACCTAAACACGAGATTGAAAATTGGCACTCTCTTTGGATTGTCAGTCAACTTCCCAATTGTGGCCATTGATTTTCTTGAGTTGAAGCAACGCCTTACAGACCTACTTCACTAAGGAGCTCAAATTGCCGTTGATGGTCTAGACATGCTGCACCGAAATCATTGAAGGCCGAACACTGATAACAATACCATTGTATATCTAGTCATAGTATTCCATTCCAACTATCCCAAGGAAAGAAAGATATCTGAAAGCTGCACTCCAACCTGCAAGGCTGCAACAGTAAGGGGAGAAAATTAGAATACACATAGGCTAGCAAAAATGATTATCATGATCTTAAATAAGCAAGCGATAGAGCAGTGTCGTTCTCACTAAGGCAAACGACAGAGTACAATAGATCGACCATGGATACAAGAAAGGAATTATATTCAATATTTAATAATCTCCTCACTCATCTCTGGTGCTCTGCAAGAAAGGAATTAAACTCAATATTGAACAGTTCTCCATTTTTCATCTTGACTTGATTCTGTTGTTAACTGCATTCCCAAAAAATAATGCTCGTGTTCTGAAATTTGAGTCATCTAGCAAAACGTAGTTCAACCTATAAAGTTGGTGCTGGCATCCACTCTGCCTCTAAACCTCCATTTATCTTTCTGTCATGGTCATATTTGCAGAATTTAGTTTGGACCATCAAGTTAGCATTAATTAACTCACAAGCTTATATGCATCTAGACATTTAAGTTTTACTCAAATCTCTACAGAAAGGTGGAAAAAGATGCAGGAACTAAAACTAGATCGTGAACTTCTAAGATATCTCAAAACTGGCACATGAGGGGACATATCCTAATATTAAACGTAAGTCGACATGAAGATATCCCCTAGATACAAACTTTCTGTAATTTATCATGAAAATTGTCACTGATATAGTCTAAAGTCCAAAATTTCATCATTCTTGATTATTATCAAAAAAAGTTTTGATTGATTAAATATACATACCAGACCTGAAGACAATGGTGCATCCCTTGCCGTTTTGAAGTTATAAGAAATTTTCCTGGCCTGAAGTGGAACTTGGTACCCAAATGATAGTTCTTCGTTACATGGACAAGCAACAATGAAATGATTCAGTTGCCTAGTTTACAAAGGTTATTCTGATCTGATCTTATTCCATTAAGTTCAACGAAGCGGGGTGACACTCTGGGAGGCATGGTGAACTTATCTTCAGAGGTGGCTTTACGTTTCTTGCTTTTCAGCTCTGCATTTTGAGCACCACCCAAATATATTTGATAAGAAAATAGTTACAGTACTAAACCTGACCATTCCTTGAGAATACACAACAGGAATCATCAATATGTTCAATAACGATCCGGTTGCCTCTAATCAGAATCACGCATGTTGAGTTTACTTATTGTAGGGGCCCAAGATAAGGGGCCTACAAAATAAATTCCAAACTAAGGTACAGTACGGAAACAAAATATCCAAAATCATATGAAAAAAATACGCTATAAAGCAGCGAGTGCAAACATCAGGAAACAACTTGATCAATGTACCCTTTTTTCAAGGATGCATCTGACCGATGTGCCCTTGATAAGAGGAGCAAACAATGTAAGAAATGAAGTGCGGTTGTAAGGGAGATACCGCCACCGCTCGCCTTAAAGGCGATGTTCACCTTGCTCAGGAGCCATGTCATCACCCCTGTTCGCCTTTCCTCTGCTTGTCCTCCGGTCAAACAGAGCTCGGCTCGGGGTGCGGACATCCTGACAATGATGAGAAGACCATAAAAAACGTTAATGCAGAGGAGTCAAGACTGCAAACTACATAATCTGAAGCACATATAGAGGCCTAGTAAAAATTCACAAAAGGTGTGCACAGTTCAGACGTGCCCAGGCTTGCCCATTGATCTGGAGTAGAAGATGGGGGGCAAATGAGGTTTACCTTGTGCACAGCCATGAGAGAGACGAGGAAGGTGATGAATTGTGGCTCGCCTCCTCCTCGTCACAGATGTGCCCAGTGCACCACAGCAGCAAGGGGTTGAGGGTCGCCGTCTCCAAGGCACGGGATCACCCTGCCCGCTCGTCGAGCTCCTCTCCTCAAGGCCGCCGGCTAGATCCATTATGATGTTAATACATGGGGTTGAAACCGCTCTGCTATACCTATGATTGAAACAGCCCTGCGTTTGAGTTTTCTCCTATCCATACCTCTGGTTGAAACCGCCCTGCGACGGCGATCCAGAACCGTGGCCCCGACGCAAGATTCGGCGGGGTCTTCCGGAGGGGATTGGCGGGGTTTTCTGGAGGGGATCGGCGGCGGCGGCTTTATGGAGTTACGGCGGCAGCGAGATCCGGCGGGATCTTCGCGAGGAGATCGACGGCGGTGAGATCCGGCAGGGTCTTCTCGAGGAGATCGGCGACGGTGAGATCCGACAGGGTCTTCTCGAGGAGATCGGCGGCGGTGAGATCCGGCGGGGTCTTGGCGGCGGCGAAGGGATGGAGGGCGGCCGCGAACGAGGGCAGTGAGTCGGGTGCGAGTGGAGGGCAGGAGAGTCGGGCGTGCGAGTGGAGGGCAGGAGAGTCGGGCGTGCGAGTGGAGGGCAGGAGAGTCGTGCGTGCGATTGGTTTAGGTTTTTTTGCTGGTTAATTTTCGTAGGTTTTTTTCATTGGTTAATTTTCGTAGGTTTTTTTCCTTTGCTTTGTAGATGGGTGCGTGGGGGCGGGTGGGAGCCTCAATACGAGGTTTTTTTGGTTCATGGCGGCTCAGTGTGAGGTGAGAGGAAGTACCAAAAAAGATCGGGTGAGGTGGGACGAAAATTAAACCCGGAACGCGACCTACCAACTGAGACATTAGGAGTAGAGATATGCAAGGTGTATCAAGAGGATATTGTAGTGGTTGTTTTGCAGAAAGCTAGTTTTTCCCTGATAACTACATAATATAATAGTCAAATTTTATTTATGTCTTGCTACAATTGAATACATATGGTTGAATTGGGCAATCCAATTCCAACCTATCCCAATTATTAAGTTTCCCAGTCAATTTTTATTAAGGTATCATCTGTCAAGATGATCCAACAACTGTAATGGCATAGTGGCTCAAATTTGTCCATAACCGAGAACACGGCTAATCATGATTAGTTTATACACTCTGCAGAGATTTGTACATTTTACCCACTGGACTCAACCCGAAGATTGAGACATAGTCTTTCAGAAGTAGTCGCCTAGTCCCAAAGGAGGCCCATCCCAACTATCATAGCTACATTTGCTGGCACATCCGGGTAAGGTCTCCACAATTGATCAACTAAGCCAGAGCGCATATTAGCAGTGGTTGTACATGGAAGCTACTATAGTCACTAAGTCTGTCTGATCTTTTTGAGCCTGAATGGCACCCACTTACATTCAGAGGGTATAAACCATGATGTTCTTGAAACCACCCAGCAATATTGTTCACGTGCACTTAGCCATGGTCCATGCCCTTAGAAAAGGAACAAGAAACCATGATGCAACCCTGTCCGTCCAGAGGTGAATTATATATTATGTTTTTACTCAAGTTATATTATATATAGTCCTCACAAAATCTCGATGAATACACGAACCAATCCCCGCCTACATAGCGTAGCAAGAATACACTACTGCGGTCTACAATAAGGCCATACTAACTGCATCTCAAACGCAATAGCATACTACCATAATATTCCTACACATGCATAATGTGTATTGTGATATATATAACTACATGCATAGAAAAATAATAGGATGAAGGATGATCAAGGTGTAACTTGCCTGGTACGTTGGATGAAGATCGTCGCACTCACAATCCTGATAATTCTACTAGTCACGCTCCGAGCAATCTATCGCAAACGAAAGAATCCAAATAAACAACCATGCCATATAAAAGAATCAAAAGAACAACAAAACAAATATGGCAAGGTTGAACAACAACAATACATATGGGCTCAATATTATAATATGGGTCTAGATGTGCTATAAGGTGACAAGGGAAAGGATCAACTCACAAGAGTTAATACAGAGAGGGATATTGCTATAAAAGATTATGTTTGAGATAATATAGAATAAAGTCAGAAGTATTTGAATATGAGTGTTCAGAATATTTTTAGCAAGTATTTGATACAAGTGTTTTACGGGCAAAAGAAATCAATTAAATAGGATATATGGTTTGCAAGATATGGCCTCCAGAAGGTTGAATCCGAATTCAAACAAATTCAAATTTGAACAGTGCAAGGGTGTGAATTTGCTTCTAATGGATTCTCCGGATCAATTTGAGTACACAGGAAAAATAATTGATGAATTTGGATATACGGTTCAAGGGACATAGCTAAACGAAAAATTGGTGAAAATATGTCTAAAACATGATTTTGAACCGCGGTTACTGTAGCATATCGCCATGTGCCACATGCGGATTGGCTGAGATGTTGCTGTGCGCGCGTGCTCACCGAAGCAGGGGGAAAACGGCGACGGCTTCGGGCGTGGGTGGCGGCGCTCCTCCGGTGGCTCTCCGGCGAAGATGAGGTGACGGGCGGATGCAGCTTGCGATGACGGAGACGATGGTAGCTTCGACGGAGATGTGAGCGTCCTCTGCTAGCGCTGCAGTGGCGTTTGGAGCTCCGATGTCGGTGTGGCTATGGCGTTTCTCGGTGTGGCCTCTCCGGTGGACCAAGGCGACTGGGAGGGTGGACCAGCAGGTGCGCAGAGTGACGGAGAAGAAGGTTGTGAGGTCAGTGACGACGGGGCGTCGTCAGGCGATGACAGTGTACGGGTGGAGCGACGGGTGGCGGTGATTTGCTCCGGGCAAGCTCGGCGTGCTAGGTTTGATTCTCTCCTGCGCGAGATAAGAAGTGAGGGAGAGATAGGAGAGCACGGAGATCATGGCAGAAAGAAAAGTAGGGGATCCTCACCCTTGGTGGCGCCAAATTCGCCGGCGGAGGGGCTGCTGGCGATGGGAGCTCCGACGAGATCGGGTTGGCTGGGGAGCTCGAACCCGAGCATCTGCTAAGGGGTAAAACGGTGAGGGGGAAGATATAGGACTAGGGAAGGATGGTAGGAGCTCCGAGAGGTCGAAGGCCTACAGGCGGCGACGAATTTCGTCGATGAAGTACCGGCGACGAGGCGAAGATCCGCAAGGTCGCTGCGCTCGATTCCCTGCTCGGTTGTGCGAGGCAAGGCAAGGGATCGAGAGAGGAGATCGACGGCTGTTCGGGGTTGTGCGTATGCGAGCGAATCGCAGACGGATCGGAGGGATCGGTGAGATCATGCGCAGGATACGCGCGCGGGTTGCGTTCTCGGTCGGGAGACCAACTGGAGGTGGAAGACAGCTGGGTGGGGCCCACCTGTCGGCTGGACAGAGAGAAAGAGAAAATACATTTTTTTAAGTGTAACTAGGGCTTTATTCAACATTCAAACAGTTTGGAATACAAATGATGTTCGGGACATTCCCTAGCCACACATGGTGGCCGACGTCAAGAGTTGAGGCGGCCTTAGTAAACTATTAGCCTCACTATTACATTTCCTGGGTTCATTTCGGAAGATAACATGTTTAAAATCATTCATACGACCTGATATTTCATGCAGAATTGGAGCGTAAACTGCAGCTGTATATCTGCTGATGTTAGTAGTTACTTCAGCGCAGTCGGATGCGATTAAAAGCCGTCGAACATGAAGATCCTGTCCCAGAGCAAGTGCCTCATTGCATGCCCACGCTTCCAAGCTGGTTGGGTCGGATAACCGTCAAAAACAACAGCTGACGCACCCAGGAAGCATCCATTGCTATCTCTACAAATAGCTGCTGCTGCACCAATGTTTCTGTGGCGGGATAAGCCCCCATCCACGTTTATTTTTTGACCTTAGTATCGGCCGGGGGAAGCCAGCCCCGTTGCCTCTGATGCGGTGGAGAACCTGTAGTAGCTTTTGGTAATGATGCAGCTGTGATCTCCAAGTCCTGCAAGTACCGATTGATAAAGCACATTGTCGATAAGGGGCTCTGGAACTCATTGTCGCGGATGGCTTTCTTCCTAGACCACCATATAGACCACATCGTGATGAGCACACGGACTAGGTCATGTTGCGGAAGAGTATCGAACAGCCAGAACAGCCATTGTCTTGCATCTTCAGATTGATTTGATATCACATGCTCCAATATACCTTCATCTCCCACCGCCCAAACACACCGAGCCATACGGCAGTTGAAAAGAGAATGACGCCAAGTAACATCCGAGGCCGAGCATATTGCGCAAACCGGAGAGGTAGCCATCTTCCTCTCATATCTGGTCGTTCCGGTCGGCAGGGACGTGCAAGCCAAGCGCCACACAAAGACCCGGACCTTTGATGGCACTTCGGTTTTCCAAAGCCTGGACCAATCTTTTTTTGCTGCTGACTGATTTGAGATACTTGTTCGATTCTCCAGCCAGTCTTCTCGCTGATGTTTAATCCCCGAGATCATTCTATAAGTAGAGCGAACAGAGAACATGCCCCTTCGATCATAGTGCCACGCCCAGAAATCACCATGTAGTCGTGTACTAAGAGGGATATTCAGAATAACATCAATGTCTGGTCCAATAAAGTGTTCCTCCAACACTTGCCTGTTCCAAGTTCTGGTTGTATGGTCGATCAGTTTGGACACCAACACGGGCGGATGTGCTGATCGCTGGCAGATCGGTCGGAGCTTGTAGTCCCACGGTAGCCAATTGTGGTGCCAAATTTGTGTGTCCTCCCCTGTACCAATACGTTTGATCAGACCCATAGATAAGACTTCTCTCCCTTCAACTATTGAGCGCCAGACCTGAGATGGATTTGATCCAAGTGGCGCCTCCAAAAAAATCTCCATTCGGGAACTACCTTGATTTCAGTACACGGGCACTTAGAGAGTTCGGCTCTTGCAGGATCCTCCAGGCTTGTCTAGCTAGCAAGGCTAAATTAAACAATTCGATATCCCGAAACCCCATT